TGAAGGAGTTTGGGTTTGAGAATGAAAATAGAACTCTAATTAAATTGGCGTCTTATGAATCATGAAATCGTGTTCTCTCATTTATCTATACATGTCACTTGTAACTCTATAATGTAAAGCTATCAGTTTGTCTTTCTACATTTGCTTCTTAATTTCAAGTTTGTCTAGCTTGAGTTTAACAATATGCGTTTATTTTCAGATGGTATTTTTTATTATCTCATTGTTTACTTTTGGATTATGTCGATGCCATTTTGCGCCTGCTTAATGGGTGTTTTCAATTCTTTTTTTATATCTTATTTAACACGAACAGGTTTGGAGGGTTCAGATACTGCTTTAGCATCAATCCTAGAGTCACTGGAGTTCTGCTTGAAACTTCGTGGTTCTGAGGCTAGTGTGTTGGAGGACTTAGCAAAGGCAATCAATTTGGTCCATACACGGCAGGATCTTGTTGAAAGTGGTCATGTGTTGTTGAACCATGCGTATAGAGCTCAACAAGAATATGAAAGGTATAACTTCTCTTGGCCTTGTTTTAACAGGAATCTAGATTATGTAATCCTCCAAACTCCAAAGTTTCAGTAAGTAGACTTCAGTCAAACAATATGAACTGGAATTCCATTTTGAGCAAGAGATGAGGAAAATTCCAATTTCTGTGTCCGATAGGTAACTGACAAGGTTTCTTTGACTACAGAACCATGCCTTTCAATTGGAGCGATTTTTTCTTTTTTCTTTTGAGATTCATATGTTTTGTTGGGGTAGATGTTATGATATTTTTTTTTTTAAAATCCAAATTCTAAATACATTTACATTTTTTTTTCTCTCTTCTAATCTCCTGCCAATACTCAAGCCTCTCATAGCTCTGCTACTTTCTGTTTTTAAATGTTAATGTTCGTAATGAATGTGCTTTTCTTAATTTTTATTTACTCCTTGCAGGACAACAAGTTATTGTTTAAATTTGGCTGCGGAGCAAGAGAAAACTGTCATGGAGAAATGGTTGCCCGAACTTAAGGTTGCAATTTTGAGTGCTCAGAAATGCTTGGAGGATTGCAACTATGTTAGGGGATTGGTGAGTGACCACCATCATCTTTCTACTTTAGCTGTATAAATTCTTAATAGTTTTGTTTTGCTTTTGCGCTCTTTAATTGTCTGAACTGCAATATGTTTCTGCAGCTTGATGAATGGTGGGAGCAACCAGCAGCAACTGTTGTTGACTGGGTCCTAGTTGATGGATTAAATGTTGCTGCTTGGCATAATCATGTGAAGCAGCTCCTTGCATTTTATGATCAAGAGCACTTGTGAATATTATTCGAGTACTCAGCAAGCAAGATTTTCTTGGGATCTCCCTGGTTTTCCCATGTCATTTGCCACTTCAATGACCATATAAATAACCAACATAACTGGCAGGCAATACGCGTACGGGGTACAGTTAGCAAATGGAAGCATATACTGAGGATATCACTTCTATATTACGGTTTGAGGAGGATCTGGTCCTGATTTTAGTTGCTTTTAAGTTTGTTATACTGGAAGACCAGATTTTTTTAACTTTTCCAAATCACTTTTTGTACAGAATAGCAAGGATGTGTTGTATCATAAACTTTGTAGCTTGGTTTTTTGGTGGGTATTCCCTCGAGGATTGATTGATCCCGGAAAATGGAAATGATTTGAACTGTAGAGATTTCATTTGTAGTCCGAATGTGACTTGGTCTTATTGAATGAAAGGGCAGCTTGATGACGAGCATCGTTGATAGGTCTTTCTGGTTTTTTTTTTCTCATACAGATGCATATGCAGAAGGTGCTTGTGATTATTTTGCATTATTTCTTCGAATTTGCAACTGATCTCTCAATATATTTTGCGCTGTATCACATTGTTTTGTTCTGCAAATGGTGCCACTCCAGTCCAGTATGCATACTTGCAGTTGGGTTTAATCTATTGTTTGGTACTATCATTATGCTGTTCTAGAAACCAATAATTGCATGGACAGATGATTCATCAAGTACTTTCTTTCTCCATATGAGCATGCAGACTAGAATAAATACAAACTCAGATGGAAGAACAAACAGAAATATCACATGCTGATGACTTACATTATATGAAAATTGCTGATGTACATTATACATTCAATGTGAACAAAATGTTTCCTGCATGAATGAGGTGTAATAAAAATGTTGTTTACAAATATACTTTTATGACATGTAATATACCCACAACAAAGCTATGCACCCGTCACAAGTATATATTGTCCTCATATTTATGTAAGTCACATATGAGACTTTACACTTAAGGGTGTGAACGATCTGGATTGAATCGGTTTCACCTCAAAATCACGGCTAAACCAATTACAATATAACGGTTTGGTTTGGTTTGATTTTGACAAAAGTCATGAAGAAAATTAAATCAAACCACCAATTTAAGACGGTTTGGTTCGGCCGGTTTGGGCCTAAGCCCAAATCTCTTTCTTTTTGCATTTTTTCAACATTGTTAGCCCAATTACAGCCAAGAAATTCACAATTTGCTCCATATTTAAATCATTTTCTAGAGTATGAAACCGTCCTAAAGCTCAACATGGCATAAAACTTCAAATTTCAATAACTAATATAGCTCAATTCACATGTAATCATAATGCTCATATGGAGAAAGAAAGTACTTAATGGATAGATGACATAAAACATCAAATTTTAATAACTAATATAACAAATTTCAATAACTATATAGGTATTACCTAATTAGAGTATTACACATGTAAAATATAAGTAAATAAATGTAAACATAAACAATCCGATTTGATTTAAGTCGGTTTACAAAAGTTCGAAACCAAACCAAATCAAACTATATACGATCTGATTTGATTTTTAAAAAATTAATTTTTTCTTAATAAAAAAACAATCTAAACCAATAATTACAATTTGATTCAATTGGTTTTATCGATTCGGCTGGATTGATGCACACCTTACAGTCAATGAATACACCTAACACTAAACCAAAGTCTTGTTCATCGGCTAAAATCTTAACGTTTGAGTCGGCATCCTTGTTTGGGATAGTTTACTTATCCAAACTATGGATTATTATTGTTTCAATAATAATGGACCAGACATCAAAGATAAAATCTAATCAACAAAGTTATCTTATGTTTCAAGCTTGGCATATCCATTTGGGAATTTCAATGCCATAAAATTTCAAATTTTATTAATTAATATAGCTCAATTCACATGTAATCATAATGCTCAGAGAAAGAAAGTACTTGATGGACAGATGACATAAAACTTCAAATTTCAGTAACTAATATAACAAATTTCAATAACTATATAGGTATTACCTAATTAGAGTATTACACGTGTAAAATATAAGTAAATAAATATACACATAAACAGTTCGATTTGGTTTAAGTCAGTTTACAAAAGTTAAAAACTAAACCAAATCAAACCATATACAATTCAGTTTGATTTCATTTAACTTTTTCTTGATCAAAACAAAACCAAATTGCTAATTACAGTTTGATTCAGTCGGTTTTATCAATTCGGCTAGATTGATGCCCACCTTACACTCAATGGATACACCTAACACTAAACCAAAGTCTAGTTCATCGGCTACAATCTTAACGATTGAGTCAGCAACCTTGTTTGGGATAGTTTATCTATCTAAACTATGGATTATATTATTGTTTCAATAATATAACGGACCAAACATCAAAGATAAAATCTAATAAACAATGTTATCTTATGTTTCAAGCTTGGCATATCCATTTGGGAATTTCCATGCCATAAAACTTTAAATTTTATTAACTAATATAGCTCAATTCATATGTAATCATAACGCTCATATGAAGAAGTACTTGATGGACAAATGACATAAAACTTCAAATTTCAATAACTATAAGGTATTACCTAATTAGAGTATCACACATGTAAAATCTAAGTAAATAAATATATACATATCACACATGTAAAATCTAAGTAAATAAATATATACATAAACAGTCTGGTTTGATTTAAGTCGGTTTATAAAAATTCAAAATCAAACCATATACGATTTGGTTTGATTTTTAAACTATTTAACTTTTTCTTAATTAAAACTAAACCGATAATTACAGTTTGATTTAGTCGGTTTCATCAGTTCCGCCAATTTAATGTCCACCTCACACTCAAGAGATGCACCTAACACTAAACCAAAGTCTAATTCATCGGCTACAGTCTTAACGTTTGAGTCGGCAACCTTGTTTGGGATAGTTTACCTATCTAAACTAAGGATTATTATTGTTTCAATAATAATGGACACAGATATGAAATAAAAAAATCTAATAAACAATGTTATCTTATGTTTCAAGCTTTGGGAATTGGTATCCATCAGCTGGCGAACTGCACTATAGAACATTCAACAAGCAGCCATGAAAGTCCTGTCGACACTCGTCAGGCTTAAGCTCGCCCGTGAAGTGTAGACATGACAGCTCTTTTGGAACCCTAAACCCTAGGGCAAACCCTACATCACAGAATTCGAAAAAACAATCATTTTTTTTTTAACTTTTAACATGCATTACCTCTTGCACTGCGTAAAAGAAAATTTGGTGTTACGTTTCAATTCTCTCACAAGATGACCTTGGACAGTAATCGCCTTATTAGATTGTCAAATTTGTCAAAAATTGTGGCCCACGGACAAAGAATGAAACGGTGTAAGTTTGTGGGATTGCCTTGGTCACAAGGTAATCAATTGGTGAAGGAAATCTGTCAAGATCTAATTATCATAATCTGGAGTTTGTGCCTTTGTTTTGTGGTGTGACTGGTGTATCTTTTGTCAGTATAAGTTTTTTTTTTTTTTCTCTTTTTCACCCAAGATGCTATGCAGTTGGACATTAAAAACTGTTGAAAATTGAATTAAAGAAAGAAAGGGAAGAAAAAAAACGAACTGTTGGGATGAAAGGATATATACATTGCTGCAAAAGGAATCTGGATGCAACATCAACACATGTGAGTGTCTTATCTTATGAGCGTACAGAGTACAGAGATTCCTTAGTTGGCTGGAAAGTGCTCAAATTCTTGGAAGTTGTTGCTTCTTTTGTTTCAAGTTTGGATCATTGGATGCATATGCTTGTCCATTTTCTGCTAAAATACGTCTTCCAAATTCCAAATAATCAAATCCCAAGATCATTGTTCTATGTAGGTTGGTACTTTTGAACCAAAAGCATTATCATAGCTCCCAATTTTCACTGATGAATTATTGAATGTTCATCTGTTTGCTGATGAGATGATGCAAGTTTTCTAGACTGTCAATAACTGAGGAAAAGACTCTTTGGTTGCAGTCACATGACTCTTTAATTTGGCCGGAATTACTTCACCTATTTATGGACGCCCTGCACAAAAAGACTTGTTTTGTAAGAAAATTTAAAGCAAATTGTAATTAATGAATCTAACGATTCAGGGGAGTGTCCTCATAGAAGTAGAAGGCCTCCATGAGATTTGGAGGTCTCACATTGCTATTACTTTAACACAAGCCTTATCAATAGGGTTAATTTCAATTTAGTACTCTGAACTCTAATCCTAAAGGCACGTTTAACCATGCACTTTTAATTTTAACAATTACATACCCTAAGTTTTTCAATTTTTTGCAATCTAAATCCGTCGTTAACTTCCCCGTCAAAATTTCAGTTAATTGCTTGCGTGGCAAGCCTGGGTTCCACCTATTCACTCATTTGAGCGTCAGTTGAAGGGTATTTTTGGGTATTTGTTCAAAAATGGTTTGGTATTAATGCATGTATTCTTCATGGGCGGGAAGACACCAATTACCTAAAAACACTCTTCAACTGACATCGAAATAAACGAATAGGTGAGACTCATGCCTGTCATGCAAGCAATTAACGGAAATTTTGATAGCGAAGTTAACGTCAGAACCAGATTGCAAAATTCAAAAGCTTAGGGTATGTAATCATTAAAATTGAGAGTGTAGGAACAAACATACCTTAAAGGTAAAAGTTTAGGATACTAAATTAAAATCAACCCTTATTAGGGTATTAATATGCCACATTAGGTCTTGAGAAGATGCCATGCTCTCAAACAACATAATATTCTGACACCATGGAAAGTTGTAAACTTTGTTTCGGGCTTGGGAGTTTTTCAATTTTCACATATATATGTTTCTATATGACCAAAAAAAATCCGTTGCTAACAAAAAAGTAAATCTATTTTTCCATTGCCTTTGCTAAGCATCATTTTAGGGGTCAAATCTTATTAAATGACTCAGTTTTATTTTGAAATAGGATCAACCAATTACTATAAGATCCTTTAAGTTGTAACGACGAGCTTGTTTGAGTCATAGTGGGACATAAAATCCGAGGTAAATGCAAAAGAGAATCAATTTTAAGGATCAAATCTTCTCAAATGACTCGGTTAAATCTTCAGTTTGAACAAGCACTTCATCAAATACAATCGCTGCATCGCACATGGCTTCTCATACATCCTGGATAGAGTTGCCATCAATTCAACAGTCGTCTTCACGCTAAAAACACGACGCCTCACCTCGTTCTTAAGCGTCAATCGGATAGCCAGAAAGGCCATACCATCAAGTTCATCTCATTCCTTTTGTTCCATGCCTTTAGGTTTCTTCCCAAATAAAGAAACTCATAGTTTCTTGACCTTGCGTGATTTGCATGCATGGCCTTCGAGCCACTCTCAGTACATGTTCTTCTTTGCTATCTATCTACTTCACCCTCTTAACGTATAAAGGGATTGGACTCTGGGACACAAAGAACAAGTTGGCAGTGAATTTTTTGCCTTGGGCTTTGGCTGTGCTCACCATGTATTCGAGGGCGTATTTGGGTTACCATACTATGTATTTGGCTGTTCTTGTTTTATTTATTTATTTGTTTTTAATATTTATTTTTAAAAGGAATGAATTTTTTAATAATTTGTAGACGAAATTGCCCCTCCACAAATATCAGAAATCACAAAAATTTGACAGAAGTTGAGAATTGTCCATGAATTGCTTCAAATTAAAACCATATGGGCAAAAGTGATCAAATTAAAACCATAGAGATCTTAGTGGTAAAGTGATAAACTACATGAACCAAAAGTGATTTTTTGTCAATCTAAAACCAAGAAGAAAACCAGACAAAAGGAAACACATCCTTTTCCTAGAATTGTATCTCCACAACTCAACACCACCAACAAAGAAACAAACTCAATAAATGTAAGTAAACAAAGAACCAGCAAAGCAAATATTTCTTCTTATCTACCTCTCCATCACAATATTAACCTTCTTTTTGGATTGTTTGGTGGTAGGATATGAACCTACATTCACTTCTTCTAGTTTGCGGTTGACAGGCTTTTGCATGGGTGAGATAAAGTTATAGTGAATACTGAAAGTGTATAGTGAATACTGTAGAGAGTATTTATATTCGTTATAAGCCTCAGCAATTGATATAAAAGGCAGCCTATATCAACTCATTCTGAGAGTCAAGAATATTAGAGTTGCTCAGAGGCAATAGAGGCTCTAACATGTCTTGGTTTTTCACACTACTCTTTTTGATCAGTTCTCTCTCATTGACTACTCCCTCAGAAGCTAGCCATGGGAAGAAGCCCCCATCTGCAGTTGTTGTAGGCACTGTCTACTGCGACACATGTTTCCAAGCAGAATTCTCACATGCCAGCCACTTCATTTCAGGTTCGTTTCAAATTTCCTACAACAACTCAATCAAAAGTGCTTTTTACATTGTGAATTTTTGGTTCAGTTAACTTAATTTCAACTTATTTTTCTGCAGGGGCTTCTGTTGGTGTAGAATGCAAAGATGGGAGTTCAAAACCAAGTTTCCAGGCAGAAGTGAAAACAGATAGCCATGGAGTGTTCAGAGTCCATTTGCCTTTCTCTGTGAGCAAGCGTATCAAGAAAATTGAAGGGTGTTCTGTGAAATTAATCAGCAGCAGTGAACCGTATTGTGCTGTGGCCTCAACAACCACTTCATCTTCACTGCATCTCAAGTCAAGTGAGCAAGGAACACACATATTCTCAGCTGGTTTCTTCAGCTTCAAGCCTCTAAAGCAGCCAAGCCTCTGTAACCAAAAACCAAGCATTCCAAACTCCAAGGAATTCAGTTCTCAGAAATCCTCATTTCCAGGAATTTCAGTTACATCCCCCTTTCCTGGTAAAACTACGAAGGCAGGGCAACTAGCTGATAAAAAATTATTAGGTCTTCCGGGACTGCCAGGACTTCCAGGACTTCCTGGACTTCCGGGACTGCCAGGACTTCCGGGACTTCCAGGACTCCCAGGACTTCCTGTTAAAACTACAGAGGCAGGGCAACTAAATGATAAAAAAGTAGCTCACCCAGATACTTCCTTCACAACACCCTTTACTGGTAAAAATACAAAGGGAGGGCAACTAACTGATAAAAAATTATTAGGACTTCCGGGACTGCCAGGACTTCCGGGACTTCCGGGACTCCCAGGACTGCCAGGACTTCCAGGACTCCCAGGACTTCCTGGACTTCCGGGACTGCCAGGACTTCCTGTTAAAACTACAAAGGCAGGGCAACTAAATGATAAAAAAGTAGCTCACCCAGATACTTCCTTCACAACACCACAAATTCCAAAAACAAGTTTGCCTCCAAATCCATCACCACCAACATCTCGCATCCCTGGAATCCCACGGGCTTCTTCAAAGCAAACTACTTCTCCATGATATTAAACTGAAATCATTAACTAAATAAATCATGTTAAGTTTGTATGGGGTGTGCAATTATCAGAAGCATATGTAGTAGGGCTTGTGAGTTTGTACTTTGTAAGGAGTATGTAAGTTATTGTACTTGGAATAAAGCTATGGTTCTCTCATCATCTGACAGAATTCATTTACTTTGTAAAAAATCCCAATATATTCTGAGATTTTGTGCCACTGTTTGCATTAATTATGAACTCCCTCTGTAGAATTATACCTGAATTGCTGAATTTGGAGCTGCATTTCAACATTGTCCAATCAAAAAGACCCTTTGAGAAGAAAAAGAAAAAATTGCCTCTTCATGCTAAAATTGAATTGTTCTTCTTAGACCAGTTTGCTTGGGAAACATAAGTCGATGAAAATGGAAATTTTAGCACTTAAACTGCACCAATTTGGGCAGAAATTGAAACCCAAAGAGCAAAAACAAAAACAAAAAATGCATCATAACTACAATTCAACATGAAATTAAGGGCCTGTTTAGTATTCAACTTGAATCCAACTTTTTAAACTCAAAAACAAAATTTGAGTCCAAAATAAAGAAAACCTGTTTAGTAGCCCTATTTTTAAAAACTCGAACTCAAGAACAACTAAAAAACACCCTAATTATTACAAAATAAAAAATATCTGTTTTTTCAGTTTTTTTCTAACACATAAGTTCCCAAATTTTTAAGATTTAAAAATAGTTTTCAAGTTGCATACAAAACAAGTTTTTAAATCTTAAAAATAGATTTAAGAACTCCTTGTTTTTAAGAAAAATCAAAGTTTTTGAGTTCCTTATTGGAATAGGATACCAAACGCCCCCTAAACAACTTCTGAGACCCAAAAAAGAAAGAAGAAGAAATTATAAACAACTTTCAGGTTCGGATTATTTCCTGAATCCTAATCTTTTGCTATACATGCCCTCATATACACATATGCAAAATCTCAGCAGATGCATAACTAAACATCACCTAACCTCCTTCTTTTATTTTTCAATTCTGGTTCTGCTAGAGCCACCTCCACCATTCCTTGCACTTTCGAGCTGCTGCTGCTGAGAGTTTGACTGCTCAGAAGCGCTAGGGTTCCACATGTCCCTGTAGTAAAACAGGGCTGCCCTCTGCGAACCGTTGGCAGAAGCTGCTGGTTGGGCGCCCTTGCTGTTGAGCCTGTACTTCTGCAAAACACACACAGTTTAAGACTTGTACATCAGCACCACTAAATCATCAACGTCAAGTAGCAAATACGCATAAAATTAGTGCTTAAATAATTAATATGAGAGCACATATTAAATTGCATGTGAAATAAATGAGTGGTTTTAACTTTCAACTTCCATTCATAAATATGACCAGGGAAAGAACTTTGTTTGGGAACGGGGCCTAATGACCCAGTTGATTTGTTTGTAGTCACAGTGTTTCATAAGGCCAGTTAAGCTTTGTTGGTCCCTTTTGTAATATTCTAAAGGTATTGGGTGCTGCACCATAATTCGGAGTTTCTTGAGCGCATATATATTTAGCAAATATATTGCACGCTTTCTTAACGAGTGGGTACGACAACGAACCATTAAGTTGATAAAAATATTAGGCTTATCATATTTTTTATATCACAATTGTACCACCTCTCTAATAGAGGTGGACTCCATTGTATTGATGGGCTCCACCTCTATTAGAGAGGTGGTACAATTGTGGTATGAAAAATGTGATAAGTCTAGCATTACTCTTAAGTTAATGGGTGGAAAATACCAAACACGAATACGATCCGTTTAAATTCGCTAATGATCAACACGAACCATTAGCAAATATTCCCGAATGATACTGACGCGACCCGTTAGCTTAATAGGTGGCTAACAGGTCCACCCACTTTGAATCTAACCCATGAAGCTAAACCCAAATATATTTTTTATTTTTTATTTTGCTAATTTGTGTCGTGTTAGCAAATCGTGAATAATATTTCTAGGTCAAGCAGACAAGATGATCATAATGGGGCATGTATAGATACTATAACAATACTCTTGTTGAGGCCCAAAATAGTCACGGGAAGCCTAAAGACATTTAAAACTCAATATAACATATAATGTTGGTCATGCGTTAATCCAAACTGTATTTTGGGGAATTAATTTATTAAATAAATATAGAAATTATGTACATGCCATGCTAAACCAATAATACATTTTTCCTATGCTAATTACCTACAAAGTTCACATGAACTCAAGTCATGTGGTTTACAAGGCTTGCACGAGAGATTGTGGTGTGGAAGGTTACTCCGGTCCACAAGGCCCACAGAAGCTCTTGGATAATAGAAACTTTGGGCTAGCTACTTGGGAGCACCAAAATCCAAGCCCAATACTTGGAGTTCTCTAATGTGGGTAAACAAATGAGATATTCTTCAAGTACTCCCTATTACCCGCTGGAAACAAGCCAATTCCGACACTTCCTTTTACCCATAGAAAATAGTCATTTTCCAATGCCTACCTTTACTTGTTGGAAATAAGAAAGTCTCAATGCTCCTTTTTACCCGTTGGAAATAGATTAGCTTCAACACTTCCTTTTACCTATTGGAAACTAAAGAGAGCATTCACCTTTTATAAATTGGGAGGCATTGCCCAGACAAAATCAACTCATCCTAGTTGTTGTAAGCCTCCTAGCAACCATGAGAACTCACAATTTCTTCAGCTGTTGCAAGCATTCCAGCAGCCATCTCAGCCATTCCTCAGCTATCACAACCATTTCTTCTATTTTCTCATCCTTGAAATCCTCCATTTTCCCTATAAAGCCTCACCAAGCATAACTCTAAGCTTTTCCTTCCTCATCATACCCTTCCAAGCTATAAACACCATAACCTTCAAGCCTTAAGTTTTTTCCTTCCATCCTCCCACCTCTAGAACTCATATATCTCTCTAGAATCGTAGTCACAAATATCATAGCCTTCAAAGTCTTAAGCTTTTTTTTCCTTAGCCATGCTCTTTGAAGCCTCATTCATTTAACTGCTATAAGCATCCCAACAACCATCAGAACCAAACAATCAAACCACCATAGCCATAGCTTCAAACAATAAGTTCTCAACACCAAAACTTAAGCATATCAAACACCAAGCCAAGCACAAGTATTCTCATTTGCTAAACTTGTGGGTCTTTAACTCCTACACTCCAAGCTCTCATGCTAAGCTCATATAATCTCATATCAACATCAGCAAGTCATCTTTAACCATCGAGAGCACGACCAAGCAATCGTCAAGTTGCTGGAAATCTACTCAAGCCACATATCTTTTATCTCAATTTCTCTCTTTCTATTTATCTATCTCTCTTTCTCAAACGGTTCGATCCCAAATCTGAAACACCCATCCTCTCAAGCTAAGTTGAAACCATAGTCATTACCCTAGAAAACGCAAACATCGTAAGCTCTTCGTTCTCTCAAGCCTTAATCTTTTCTTTATACTTATTTTCTCTTAGCTCCCACACCATAAGCCTCTCATTCCAAGCCTAGTAGTATCTTAATTCATCAAAGCAAACTTTCATACCAAGCCTATGCAACATCAATGCACCATCTCCAACTATTCGTCAAGCTATCGGAAACATCAGCAAAAAACACGTAGTCGCTGGAAGAAGAACAAAGTACTCCCGTGGGACCTGCTACTTCCTCGGGATGCTTTGGGCATAATTCTCGCTAAATCAGAAAAAGGGGCAACAAATGCTTGATTCACCACTCTATGGCGGTCCAAGAATCAACAAACCCGGACGAGCCTTCAGACGGAAAAAAACCCCAACAACTCTCATGCGCACATGTATATGCATGACAAATTTTATCATAAGATCATTGTCCTATTAAGTAATCTAATCACTAGAATCTTTCATGAGCTTGAGAAAATGCACAGAAATTGCGAATGGGATGATATTTAATAAAGATATCACACTAAAATGATATGAGGCCTAAATCTCTCATGCACATTAGAAAAATCCCCTATATATAATTTTAACATTGGAAGATATACTAGTAAGTTATCACAACTACTAAAATGACCCAAGTGAAAGAAAAAAAAACCTTGTATGTAATTTGAGCAATGAAAGATCTACTATTAAGATATTATTGCACTTTCTCATGCGCTTGAGAAAGATCCCCTGTATATGCTGAGGACAAATATCGTCCCTTGGAGTGTCAAAACGAAAAAGCACAATGACTTCACAAATACCATAACACTCTGGATACTGGTTATAAAGATCGCCAATCCACTTAGACCATTACACTGGACTGTTCTTTAAGGACCAAGTGTTGGAGTTTGGACCCTCAGCTGAATTGCATGAGTGTTGGACCGTCATAAACAACTTTACCCAATTATGCACAAATGTCTTGGGCATAAATAGTAGGGGGTGGTTGCGGTTCGGTAACCGCGAAATTTTGCCCAAACCGCAAACCGACCGACTATTTGCGGTATGGTGATTTTTGAAACCGCAAAAAACGGTCGGTCACCGAGAATTAGCGGTTCAAAACCGCAAGTTCTTCAGCATTCATAAAAATATAAATTCACAACCTAAATAAATAAATACACAACCTCAACTTCTCAAGCATATATAAATTCACAATCTCCTCAACTTCTCAAACATTCACAACCTAAAGAAAATTAAAGTTACAATTCCAAGCATTCCAATTAAAGTTAAACTTCTTAAGCATTCCAATTCCAAATCCTTTAAAGTTACAAACCAAAAGGAAAATGCAAAGCAAAATGAATTAAAGTTACAACTAAAAAGAAAAATATAATTCAAAGTTAATTAAAGTTACAAACTAAAAGAAAAATGTAATGCATCAATGTTACAAACTCAAGTGTTGGTGGTGAGTGGATTTGAAGAACATTGTTGTGTTGTTTGAGCACCAATGTTATCTACAAATAAAACAATATAGTTTAGTATATTTTATTATAAGAAGATCAAATAAAACAACATAAATTGACTATATTTTGCGGTTTGCGGTAACCGCAAGTTTTGAAAATTAAATACCGCAACCGCAACCGCAAATGCGGTTCGGTTCTTCATACCGCAAATACGATTCGGTTTACCGCAATCGCGGTTTCATTGTTGTAAATAGTCGGTTGGTTTTTCGGTCTAAAATGCTACCCCTAATAAATAGTAGCATCTTTTTCAAATATAGGTTTTGGCACGTTGGAGTCAAAGGTGG